AAAAAGCATTTGATACTGTTGACCATGATATTTTATGTGGAAAATTGAAATTGATGGGTATCTGTAATACTGACTGGTTTATGTCTTATCTTAAAGGTAGAAAACAAACTGTTAGCGTTGATAATATTTTATCAGATTACATGCCTGTTACATGTGGGGTTCCCCAGGGCAGCATCCTGGGTCCTCTTTTATTTTTGTGCTATGTAAATGACATGAGAATTAGTATAGATCAAGAATGTAACCTTATTCTGTATGCCGATGACAGTGCAATTCTTTTTGCTCACAAAAATCCAAGTATTATTTCTCAAAAACTTGGACAAACACTAGAGTCTTGTTCATCTTGGCTTGTAGATAACAAATTGTCACTTCATCTAGGAAAGACTGAATGTCTTATTTTTGGTTCCAAACGTAAACTAAAACAAGTTAAAGAGTTCAAAATTGTTTGAAATGGACATACTATTGAACCCACAAAATCTGTTAAATATCTAGGTTTAAATATTGATGATTCTTTGTCAGGTGAATCTATTGTTAATTGTATTCTTACAAAGGTGAATTCACGTCTTAAATTTTTGTATAGGCAAGCTAATGTTTTAGATTTTAGGACTAGAAAATATTTATGCTCAGCACTAATACAATGTCACCTTGATTATGCATGTTCTTCTTGGTACCCGAGCCTGGACAAGTGTTTAAAAAATAAGCTTCAAATTTGTCAAAATAAAATTGTTAGATTTATACACGGTATGGGACCTAGAGATAGTGTCAATAATGTTATTCTTGCTAATATGTCTTTACTAAATGTAGAAAACAGAAATAAGCAATTACGTCTTAATCATGTTTTTAAAATTGTTAATAACCAGTGCCCTTCATATATGATAGAAATTTTTATACCTGTTCGAGACATTCATTCTTATTCAACTGGGTCGAATCAGTACAATTTTAGGGTCCCAAGAAGTTATGGGAAAGATAATGTAACTTTTTTTCAAAAAGCAATTAATGATTGGAATTCCTTGCCAACATACATAAAAAAAATTAATAAGATAGGAAATTTCAAAAGCTCTGTGAAGGCCCATTTACTAGAACAGTTAGGTTAGTAAATCATAATTAAATCCACTAGTATGACTAGATATTGATCTCATTTTTATTGTTTTCTTTTTAGCAAAGTTAATGGAAATACTAAAATTTGATATTTTACGTAAATGACATCTTCCAGTTTCCAAAGTTTTGTATTTTTCAATGTTTTTGTGTTTTATATTGTATATTATAGTAAGTATATATCCAAGGACCCCATTGGAAATAAGCCTTCAGGCTTTCATGGGCAATCCAAGGTTATTGCACACTACTCTATACATGTTTCCACTTACGTCCTTACATTTTATTAAACTAGTAAATTGATATCTAGTCATAGGAAAGAAAGAGTTTTAGATTTTGTTTTTAGTTATAATATTTTATTACAATGTATTAAATGAGCCGTCTGTGATATTTATGTCTGACAAACTTCCGAAATATTTTATTACAATTGTGTCATCAGTTTTAGATAAAATGCTTAAGTGTTTGTTTTATGTATACATGTATGTGTGTTTTAACCTGAATAAATATCTATCTATCTATTCAGTTGGATTGATTTCTATGATTTTTGTTACCAAAGGGGAGATAATCCACAAGTCATAAGGTCTGTCACTAGCTGGCATTAAACAAAATCAGTATCAGAAACTTTATGTCATGTATGCAAAGTATCTCAATTTAGTAAACACGATGTGATATGATAATTTAAATTTCTAAAATAAGTTATGATAGTTTATAAGCAGCTAACTGGTTTGATTTTCCTGTCAGAATCATCATATTATCCTCAGTGTCATAACAAACTCCCATTGGTGCAAACCCAATTGTCTCCCTTCTCATTATTGCTTTGATTCTCTCCCCTGATGATGAAACCTGATGTACTACCCCTGGGCTTGTTATATACACTGACCCCATATTGTCAATACATAACCCAGTAGGCTCCCTTAACTGTTGGTAGTTAAACAGTTCTTCCCCTTCTGTGTCAAAACAATATACAGAGTTACTTCCTGTATCAGAGACAAATAGTTTTAATTCTTTTGTAATTGCGAGATATTCTGGGTTAATAAGATTTAAACTATTGTCAAGATCTATAACTCTTGAAGTATGTCCCTTTAAAGTCATTAGTTTTATCTGCCATTCGTTAACATTTGAGACTATCACAGCTAGGCCATTGTTGCTCCTTGCAATTCCATGTGGAACCCCTTGCATTCTTACAGTTTGTTTATGTGATATAGATTTTCCGTTAACTTCAAAAATGCTTATGCCGTTATACATTCTAGTTCTAAAAGTCACATGAACAATATTATCATTTGAGCCTGTACATAAACTGTTCGTACTGAACTCCACTGTATATGATGTGAGCAATTCTAACTCTAAATCAAATAATTTTAGCTTATAGTTGCCGGAATCGGCAATGATAAGTTTTCCATCAGGAAGAAATCCCTGTCCTCTAACACAACAGTCTTTGACGTCATCTCCTGCCTTTATGTTAAAATTTCCGACTTTACGAAATGATTTCGGCTTAGGTAGATTCCTATTCTCTTTATCCTTTTCCAAGAGTTTTTTAAGAATTTTATTTTCTGCTTCTATCTGAGTGGTTATCCTGGTTTCCGACTCCAGACTTTCATCTTTTATATAATCTGGAGTTATCGGAATTACTTGTTCGTACTCGGAACGTGTAAAAGATAAGCTTTTATATGATGAGAGATCGCTCACGGTGTCCGAGAGCTTGCTTGCCGCTGTTTTAGGAAGTTTTAATTTGGTAGATGTAACAGAGTTTTTATGATGATTGTTAACTTCTTGAGTTCTTTTACTTTCTTTCGTACTTGGTAAAGTTACAGATGATCTACTGGGTCTGTTAGATAAAGGGAAAGAACTCTTACTGACTTGTCTTTCTTTGTTTTTGTCATGTAGAGTAGCATCTCCCCTTGTATTTGACTCTTCATCAGCTAAATATGGCTTACCATCCTCATCAAAATAATACTTTTGTCCGTCTGTGTCCAAAAAATACCTGTTACCTTTCTGATCCATATAGTAGGGCTCCCCATTTTCATCGAGATAAAATTTCTCACGATTTTCATCTAAATAGTATGGTTCCCTTTTTTCATTAAGGTAAAAGATCTGCCTGTTTTCATTCAGATAGTATGGTTGGTCATTTTCATCCAAGTAGAATGGTGCACCATTATCATCAAAATAAAACAGTGAATCAGAATCTTCCAGATAAAACTGGTTCCCTTTGTTGTCATAGTAACACTGGTTCCCCTTTTCATCGTATTGTAAAGGATTTCCAAATTCGTCAAACTTTTGTTCCTGCTGCAGCAGACGCCTTTGACGCCTCCTTTCTCTTCTTTCTTGTTTCTTTTGCTTCTTTAGAGCCTCTCTTTCATCTGCTGCTTTAGCAGATACAACACTTCCCATAATGCCCTTAATGACCCTAATGAAATAGTGAATAGAATATATGTTTAAGAAACTACATTAAATGCCTCAAAATTTTGTGCCTGCGGCATTAAAGTTAGTCAGTCAAGTTCTTTTAAATTTCATAAGCAACAAAAAATATTCTTTGATATTTAGAGTTGTGAGAACTTTAAACTACTTCTTCATCATTCTCTACTACCTTAATTTTTTTTTAAATATCCGACAAATGTAATTAGAGTATCATCTCTATGTAAACTATATTTCCATCTTTCAATCGTGACAAAACCATAAAAATATGAATCATGTTTTTTTTAGGAAAATTATCAAAATTGAATAGAGAACAGACAGTGCAGACCATGATTAGGGAGCACACAATGTGATGGCTATTATCTTGATCTGCACTGCTTGCATAGGTAAAATATGTAGTCACAAGGTGGATATAGATAAAAAAAGAGAATTCTGCAAATAAATTAAATAATACAATCTCATACTCACGGTTGAAATGATAATAGATCTACATCAATGAATCTTCATCATAGTGAGAACCCTATAAAAACTTAAGTTAACTTTTGACCGACAAATTTTTACAAATTTAATGTACAAAAAAATGTATAACCTGTGTAATTTGATAGTGACAAGAAACAAAAAGTGGTTGGATTAATTGTTAAAGATTACATGCCTCATTAATTGTGATCTTCTGAACTTCACATTGATTTATAGCTTTCAGTACAATTGTTCTTGTTTTTAGGCCAGGGATTTTTTTTTAAGTCATCTCTTTTATAATCTTTTTGTAAATACAATTATATCATCCTTTGATCTGTGTTTATCAGTCCTCTAAAAAAAGTTGGATTTGAAAAGTTGTAATATCTCTTACTGTGAACAAATATGCTCTCAAACATTGAAAGACCCCCCCCCCCCCAAAAAAAAAAAAAAAGAAAACTCATGAAATTTACTCATGTAATCCCTTTAGGTGTTTGTAGAGTAATCTCATAAAATGTTTGTAAACCAGTTATTCTTAGTTGCTTTTATATAGTATATATTCTACAAAATTAATGTCTTTCAGATACTTTAATGTTAAGTGCTTTAAGAAAAATAAAATTTCATGAAAGAAAAATGGTAATTTTCATTATCAGTATTGCAAAATAAGTCATATATTATTAACTGGTCAGTAATTCTTACTGGATACTTGTATTTACTAATAAGGTTTTTAAGTTCCACTCTTCGAAGAAAAAAAGTGGAGCTTTTGTCATGACCCTCTTGTCGGCATTGCTTAACCTTTTTGTTAAGGTTCATTTTCTCAGAAACTATAGGAGCTATTCACATCAAACTTGGTATACATTTTTATTGACATAAAAGGATGCCATTTCAAAAGGGCAGATAATCCTTTAAAAAAATGCAAAGTTATGCCCCTTTTTCAACCTTGCTTTTATTTAACTATCCACAACTGAGAAAAGTGGAGCCTGCTCTCCATTGACAGATCTTGTTTTGTACAAAGTATTTAATCTTTTCCACCATTTGGTTTTCAGACATCGTCGTATGGAAGCTGTGCGTTTACGTAAGGAAAACCAGATTTACAGTGCTGACGAGAAACGAGCCTTGGCGACATTTAATCATGAAGAGCGGGCGAAACGAGAGACAAAAATTCTGTCGCAGCTGCGTGAAATGGTCAGGAAAAAAATGGAAGCGCGAAAATAGTATACCGAACATAAGTGACGATAAGTTGAATAATGTATGCTTCACATTATCAGGGAAAAATTGGAAAATATATTCTGTCAGAATACAAACAGCATAGTGTATGGTTTGATTCAGAGAGGAACATGGTCGGGCATATGTGTTTGAATATTATTCTGTGTATGTGTTGAAAATGAATTAATTGCATTTTAAGTGTAGAGGAATGACAGATAATGAGTAACTGATGGATTATGAATTGTTCACTCAGGTTTTAATACATCAAGATTGTTCTTTTCAATGAAGCAGCAATTAGGTTATCTGATTGACTGTCATAATTAGACACATTATTAACACCAGTGTAGTATTGACCATTTTAATGGACATAATTGTGTATGATGAAGTTAAGAGTTTATTTAGGTTATACACCTTAAATTTTGTTTTGATGACATGGCTTGAGAATTGTATGACTTTTACATTGTGAATTTTTAGGTGAAAGTGAGAATCAGTTATAAATAATCATGAAATGTTTGGTTGAATTCAGTCAAATTATAAATATAAATCAGTGTTTATACTCATCATGTATATAAATATGACTGTATCATATGATAGGTACTTAAAATTTATGTAAAATTTGATTGTCAAGTTTTCGGACAGGTTCAGACAAAATGTTTGTTGAAATCATGATTTCAGACAAAATGTTTGTTGAAATCATATTGAGTGGTCGTACGTTTATTTCAACTGTTAATTTATTGATCTACATTTGACTTGTATTCAAGTTCATATAATTCTATATTTTCTTTATAGATCTGTAATGTTACAAAGAATTATGTATGCTTTAGAAAACGTAACACAATCTGTAATGTTAAAAATAAACATAAATGCTTCTGAAAATATAATAAATTCATGCTAGGAATAGCATTGAGACTTGATTGGTGTAAATAATAGATGAGAAAATGAATCTTGACAATGTTTTATCCTGATACAAAAAGAGAAACAATGTGTGAAATACATGTATCTCTTGCATATCATAATTAAAGCATTTTGTCATCAATTTAACATTTTGTACATGATTTTGTTATTGGTAATATGCCCAAATAAACTATTTTTGTTCAACGAATGCTTTTCTTATCAGCACAAAGATGGATTTAGTTGCTGTTTTTGTCTGCCCTACTTTTTCTTAGCAACCACTGGCTTGAATCAATCCAAATGGCATCGATAACTTATTAGTAAAATGACCCATGCATTTTAAGAACATGTTAGTCAATGATTTTTCACAAAATAATGTAACAGAAATGCCTTTTTCTGCTGTCATGTTTGTCCTATTTGTCACCAAGCACTGACTTTTACACTCTTTGAATGTTTTAACATTAGATGTGTTTATAAGCAACACGTTGTTCAACATGTTACAGTTCAGTGATTTTTCACAAAATTATGCCCCTTTAATGCCTTTCAGCTGTCATTTTTGTCTCGACAAGTTTATTTAGGTAATTAACTTTGTTGTACTTGAAGGGGGGATACAATAATACACTGGTATGGGGAAAATAAATTTCTTCAGGTGGCCCTGAAATAGGACATTTACATAAAACCATAATTATAAGTAGAGATAATTTACAATAGAAAAGTTACAGACATTACTTGGAATTGAACCATGGGTCTTTGGTATGTCGGCCCAGAAGACAATTCACTACATCACCATGGCAAGATCTGGATTCATCAAAAAGTTGGGAAGTAAGACAATAACAAATGTTAAAATCAACAATCTTTGTTTTATTCATTTCTCTGTTAATTTTACAGACAATATCACTATAAGATAATACAAAATGTAAATACACAATTAAATTAATAACAAAACCACCTTACTCTGTGCTTTATATCTTTCAAAAAAAGGAAAAAAGATAATTTTTTCTATAGATTACCACATGTATAACAAGTATTATCAATTTATAACAAAATTTCGAAAGATAATTCTTTCTTTAATCTCATACAAAATTGAAAGTACATTGTACACGACTATACTTTTCTTTTTCTTTTTTTAAAAATCTTTATAATTTTTTTGCACTTATTATATAAGAGCAATAAAAGATTATTTTAATTTCTCTCAAACCTGATTTTAACATTAACTTAATTTACCATCCATAAACCATTCTTCCTCATCTCTACTCATCTCTAAATCATTTATTAAACATAATTTGTTTACAGTCACACAAATATTGTAAAGGACATAATATTACAGTGAGTCATTCCAGCTTTACTGATGGATGAACACCTCAAGTGAGCTTTCCAAGCATGATTTCAGACAGGAGCAGGCCATCAATTTAAACTGATGACCTTCCATAAGCCAGCTGGATAGCTTCCTCACATGATAGAATCCAAAAACCCCCCTGGCAGGATTTGAACCTTCAGTGGTAAGAGGCATATGGTTCTAAGTTAGCAACCTTAACAACGCAACCATGGACATCCCTTTTTTATATCAAGAACACCAACTTTCATATAATCTGAGGTAAGAATATGTATCTTAATTCAGTTTACGTTCAAAGGTTTAAGTTTTTCCCACCGTTCTCAGGTTTCAGTTGCAAATCATAAATAAATATAATTCACCTACTACAGTATAAATCTTGTCAACAGATACTTCATCATTCCTGTATGCATTCATATTAACATATTTCAAACTTTGAAAGTTTTATAAGAGACTATCAACTACAGTTGACTCTCGATAACTCGAAATCCAAGGGACTGGGCATTTTACTACGAGAGAAACGGAATTCGAGTAACGTGGATCTGCCGCCATTACGTTGACATTCGTACATGTATATACATGTACCTGATTGAATGTGCAAAGAAGTAGGTTTGTTATTGTTGATAGCGGCAATGCTGCAATATTTAACCGTTGAAATGACTGTAAATCACTTACAAATACAAATAATAAATGAACAAAAATATATTATTCAAAATTTAATACATGTATATTAAAAGTGAAATATAAACACAAGCATTCGTAGCAATGACATAAATGCAAGTTTGTCAGTATCCATCAGTACTGCACATGCTTTTAATACGCACTCATGATAATTCATTACAATAAAAGCACAATAACACATTTATTTCAACAACCATATATCTGATGTTTGAAGTAAATTGATCATCAGACGAAAACGAAAGTAGCAACTATAGTGAACCGGAAGTACATATTAATGTAAGCAATATGACGGAAAATTAATTATAAAAATGTCATTTACGTTGAAAACACACATCAATACCTAGGCTGGTACAATTAAATTAATTAAATCTTAATTTACTTATCTAACTGTTAAAACCAATTAAGTCCTGAAACCGATTAAAGCCACTTTCACGACGTGCTAATAATACATGATGACCGGCAATTAAATTAATATGAAACGTGTGAATAACGAGTGACATCATCTCAACTTGATGTCGCAGACCTTTGATCAGTCGGCTGTTTTCACACTTCGACTAATTGAGATGAAAATATGTTGGACTTTAATTGACGGGACCAAATTTTCTTTTCGACTAAACAGGAGTCTCGGTAAGTCAAAATTTGACCTAAGCGGAGTTAAAATACAAAGATAAAGAAGGAAATTCGACGGGACTTTAGAAATTCTTCGACTAACGCGGAATTTTGAGTAAAGCGATTTTGACTTATTGAGAGTCAACTGTATTTCAATTCAAATATGACAATAAAATGACAAAAAATAAACAAATACCAAAATTTGTCCAAGTGTTAAGCGCCACTTGGAAATTTCACAATAATAAATATCACAAAACAAAATAAAAATACGAAACTTAGTCAAGTATCACATGACAAACCATAAAGTTTAATAATCAACTTTTGACAATTTTAACAGTTCTAAAATATGTTTTGACAATCTGAATTTTACATATATCTTTTCGACTATACATTATATTATTTGTTATAAAGATTTTTGACGGGTTATATGGCCCTATATAAATGGTTGTTTGTAAATATAACCCGAGAAGGCTGCAGATATTGCAAACAATTGTTTATATACCGGCATATAACCTGTCAGGAATATTTATAACAAATTTATAATACTGCAAACTTCCTTTTTAAAAGAAAAAAGTGAGATTTCTTCATGAACTGACAGCAGCCGTGTATATAAAACTACATACACATTGCGATTATCCAAGAAAAAGCGATGTTAAAAACAGAGAAGTAAGAAGCTATAATTGTAGATCATATCTTTGAAAACTTACAGACTTCAACTAAAAACCATTGAAAGACTTGTAGATATTATTCATACAAACTCGCCATACCAACTTTAAGCCAACAGAAAAATAATCAACATTTCAGCCGTGTCACGACAAAACCAACATAGTGTGTTTGCGACCAGCATGGATCCAGACCAGCCTACGCATCCGCGCAGTCTGATCAGGATCCATGCTGTTCGCATACCAACCCTATAACAAGTAGAGAAACTGATAGCGAACAGCATGGATCCTGATCAGACTGCGCAGATGCGCAGGCTGGTCTGGATCCATGCTGGGCACTATGTTTATTTTGTCGTGAAGTGGCTCATTTCTTTCCCATCTTCTCAATAATGCAATAATCTTCAATTAAAATGTAAATTACCTAACATTACCAAATTAAACTACTAAACTATTACACTGATATCTGACAAAAATGTAACACATTTTTACATCACAAAAACATAACTTTAAAGCAGCAGGCCTCCAGATTTCTAAATAATTATTAATAATTAAATTTATGAGGCATTTTGCATGTTTTCAGTAACAGATGGCAGAAATTTTCACTTCTAACCACTTATTTCTACCTTGTTTATAATGGAGTATTGAATATTTTAGAAAATTATTTTAACAGATCTTTAATAATTAATATAGATAGGAAGTACCTCACCCAGCAAACACATGACGTTAAAATCGGATTACCGTTAGATTTTGGTCACGACGTCGGCGACCAAAATACGACGTAAATCTGACGTTCAAAAACCGATGTCTATTAGACGTTTCTTTTTGACGTCGTACTAACGTCAGATTCTGTTTAAACCAAACAGTCCCTTTTCTGTTGGCTCCCTAATAATAAAGGTTTAGCTGCTGACAATAAGTCAGGTCAGACTGCGTGTTTGTCTTGGGTAAACACTCTGTATTCTGTTTGTTTCTAAGTTAAAAAGCTGAAGCTACCCACTACAGATTTAAGACAGATGTTTTACTGTTGGTTGCTAAATACCTGTACAATCGTCTATTCAAAAGTAGATTCAGGATATTGATTGTTAATGATATTTATAGTGGTAACACATGTTTGTAGTGGTATCACCTTGGTATGATCTTTTATTCAGAATAGTCCTATCAACCTATGCAGTATAAATAGAGAGGGTGTAATTGATATTTTTCAATGTTGATATATGTATATCTTAAGCAGTTTTTGGTTTATATAGTAAATATGACCACTCTAACATTACAGCCGTGCATCTCCTATTTTGAAGTGGTTTGTCCATCATTAACAATTATTGATAATGCAGAAAACATTGTGATTGTTTGAAAATATCAATAAAAATTCAAATTCAAAATAATGGTATAATGGTGGTTATTTTTTGGAAAGTACATGTTTGTACTTAAGGAAGAAAATTGACATTAGATATAAGGAAATTATATATGCAAAAAGCAAACAATAGTAGTGGTTCTTTTATGAGATATTTGAGAGGCCCTAAACATAAGGAAAAAAGTCTTGCACTGAAATCAGTTTTCTGTAGTCAATAGGGGAAGAGTTTTTGTAACATGAAGTTATATTTAATCTGTACTTTATTGTACTGAGAGGTTGTTTTACATATATGTTTAGAAAAGATGATATTATATACTTGTGTATGTCAAACTGAGTGAAATGATTTTTTTTATATGTGAGCCGCATCACGACAAAACCAACATAATGGGTTTGCGACCAGCATGGATCCAGACCAGCCTGCGCATTTGCGCAGTCTGATCAGGATCCATGCTGTTCGCTTACAAACCCTATAACAAGTAGAGAAACTGATAGCGAACAGCATGGATCCTGATCAGACTGGTCGCAAATCTATTATGTTGGTTTTGTCGTGACGCGGCTCATTTAAATTTTATTGCTATAAACCCTTAATTTATCTGCTCAATGTGTGCAATGGATGTGCCCGTCTTAGAATTTAGAACAGTCCATAAAATTCAAAGTTTAAAGCAGCATGCCTCAAGATTTTCATACTTATTTTCATGAAAATTTTGAAAATGTATGAAATTATAAGAAAATATTGTGACACCAGCACAGAAAATAATTTACAAATTGCAAACAGCACCTGTAATCCATGTAAATTAACCCAAAAAAATGTAAAAATATGGTAACACAGCTAGCAAATAATTAACTTTCCTTCATGACTTTGTACATTTTTTTCAAGTTTGATTTTCTTGCAAAAATGTTGGCTCGTCGACAGGCATGCAGTTTTCATTGTTTTCAATTTCAAAAACCAACACTATAGAGCCTAATCATTATAAGTCTACACAGATGTGTAGGCTGGCCTGGCTTTAAGCTCTAGCCTTATGGCAAATTGGCAATCCCTAATCTTTCTTGGCTCTAGCAGGCATAGAGATACATATAAATGCACAGAGATGTGAGGCTAATGGTTTAATACAAATACACAGTCTACCAGAGATGTGAGGCTAATGGTTTAATACAAATACACAGTCTACTAGAGATGTGAGGCTTAGGGTTAAATACAAAATACACATTCTACCAGTAATTTGAGGCTAAGGATTTAATAAAAAAAAAGATTAATACAAAAAACAGTCTACCAATAATTTGAGTCAAAGCTTAAATACAAATAGTCAAATACACAGTCTATCAGTAATTCGAGTCAAAGCTAAAATACAAATACACAGTCTACCAGAAAATTTGTGAGGTTAAGAGTTAAATACAAATACACATTCTACCAGTAATTTGAATACAAATACACAGTCTACCAGTAATTTGAATACAAATACACAGTCTACCAGTAATTTTAGGCTAAGGGTTACATACAAAGACACAGTCTACCAGTAATTGAAGGCTTACGAAGGGTTTAATACAAATACACAGTCTACCAGTAATTGGAGTTTAAATACACAGAGTAAAAGTAATTGGGATGCTTATTAATTTGTGAAGAACTGATAAAAGATATAACCTGGGCATTCAACTTTGACATACACACTGCCTCGTTTGTTGCCAGTTGTGCCAACGTTGTTATAGAGCCACTGTCATGATCGGTCGTATTGCCCGTTCATTCAGTATTATCATTGTAAGTTTGTTATTTAATGAATGTAGACGTATCATGTTTAAGTTGACTCCAGGATCTGTCGTTATTCTATAGTCCGTAAATGATGCCGTTAATCAGGCAACTATAAAATACAAAATGAGTCATGAAATTTTACAAACAATTAGTATAGAACTGTTAGTGATTCAGAAAAAAAAGATGAAACTAAATGCTACAATCAGTGACATCTGCACGCAAAGTGCCAATGATTAATTCATTTAAAATTGACAAATATTTGTACATGTGTTCACATACGAGTATATTCATGTTATAGGTTACCTAATCTGATACATGCATACTAGTGTAAATTCATTTTGATGTTTAATCTCTTGGATTATCTACATGATACTGCTAAGCAATCAATTCTGATTATGACTAGCTGTGAGGCTAGATGTCTTCATGTTACATATTGCTATTAAGTACATGCACTTAAACATCAGATTCCTCACTGTTTTTATTTTCCTAATTATTGACTTAATACATTTAAAATTAATCAAAATTACATACACATGCTAGCCTTTTCACAAATGTAGTACGTGACATATGAGCAATAGTAGTCGTACCAATTTCCCGTGGCATGATGCATATACACACAATCCTGATTAGTAAAGTTATTTGGCTGTCCGGTCGCCCAATTCCTGTACACTCCAAGCGTATTTCCACTTGATACCCAGACAAAGACATTTTCAGTCACTGTTTCATTCAATCCAATCCAAACTGTAAAAAATAAGTTTAAGGTAGACCATATGTTATGCATTACCTCCACAAATAGGCTGGAATCACTTGTAAAGTACATTGAAAATGAGGGGTGTGGGTAAGAATCAAACCACAGAAGGGTCAAATTTTTTTCTTTCCTTTTTTCTCTTTAACATTATTTGGGTATATCTCAGATCCCTTATGGAAGAAAAAAGTGTTTGATTTTAACTATATGATTATTGTAGGTAATTATTTGCTAAATAATGCCAAATTTAATAGCAAATATAATACCAGATATTTTTAAAGTTTAATAAAATTAAAACTACACTGTAAAAGTATTTTATATTTTGCATAATCAACCAATATACTGTTAAGAAAATTTAGGCAAACTTTGAAAACAGCCCCTCATTGTGGTAAATTTTAGGGATATTTATGCCCCCATTTCGAAGAAAAGGGGGTATATTGCTTTGCACTTGTCGGTCCGTCGGTCCGTAGACCAAATGGTTTCCGAGTGATAACTAAAGAACCCTTAGGCCTAGGAACTTCAAACTTGGTATGGTGATTGGTCATGACCAGCAGATGACCCCTATTGATTTTGGGGTCATGGGGTCAAAGGTCAAGGTCACATTGACCTTGTAAGCAAAAACGGTTTCCGATTTATAACTAAAGAACCTTAAGGCCTAGGAACTTCAAACTTGGTATGGTGATTGGTCATGATCATTAGATGACCCCTATTGATTTTGGGGTCAAGGGGTCAAAGGTCAAGGTCACATTGACCTTGTAAGCAAAAACGGTTTCCGATCAATAACTAAAGAACCTTAAGGCCTAGGAACTTCAAACTTGGTATGGTGATTGGTCATGATCAGTAGATGACCCCTATTGATTTTGGGGTCAAGGGGTCAAAGGTCAAGGTCACATTGACCTTGTAAGCAAAAACGGTTTCCGATCAATAACTAAAGAACCTTAAGGCTTAGGAACTTCAAACTTGGTAAGGGGTCAAAGGTCAAGGTCACATTGACCTCTTGGGTAAAAACGGTTTCTGATCAATAACGAAAGAACCTTAAGGCATAGGAACTTCAAACTTGGTATGGTGATTGGTCATGACCAGCAGATGACCTCTATTGATTTTGGGGTTAAGGGGTCAAAGGTCAAGGTCACATTGATCTTGTAGGTAAAAACTGTTTCCGATCAATAACGAAAGAACCCTTAGGCCTAGGGATTTCAAACTTGATATGGTGATTGGTCATGATCAGTAGATGACCCCTATTTTTTTTGGGGTTAAGGGGTCAAAGGTCAAGGTCACATTGATCTTGTAGGTAAAAACTGTTTCCGATCAATAACGAAAGAACCCTTAGGCCTAGGGATTTCAAACTTGATATGGTGATTGGTCATGATGATAGATCAGTAGATGACCCCTATTGATTTTGGGGTCAAGGGGTCAAAGGTCAAGGTCACATTGACCTCTTGGGTAAAAACGGTTTCTGATCAATAACAAAAGAACCCTAAGGCATAGGAACTTCAAACTTGGTATGGTGATTGGTCATGACCAGCCGATGACCTCTATTGATTTTGGGGTTAAGGGGTCAAAGGTCAAGGTCACATTGATCTTGTAGGTAAAATTTGTTTCCGATAAATAACTAAAGAACCCTTAGGCCTAGGAACTTCAAACTTGGTATGGTGATTGGTCATGACCAGCAGATGACCCCTATTGATTTTGGGGTTAAGGGGTCAAAGGACAAGGACACATTGACCTTGTAGGTAAAAATGCTTTCAAATCAATAACTTAAGAACCCTGAGGCCTAGGAACTTCGAACTTGGTATGGTGATTGTTCATGACCAGCAGATGACCTATTGATTATGGGGTCAAGGGGTCAAAGGTCAAGGTCACATTGACCTTGTAGGTAAAAACGGTTTCCGATCAATTAACTAAAAAAGCTTAGGCCTAGGAACTTCAAACTTTGTATGATAATTGGTCGTGACCAGCAGATGACCCCTATTGAGTTTTGTGTCAAGGGGTCAAAGGTCAAGGTCACATTGACCTTGTAAGTAAAAACGGTTTCTGATCAATAACTTAAGAACGCTTAGGCCTAGGAACTTCAAACTTGGCATGGTGATTGGTCATGACCAGCAGATGACCTATTGATTTTGGGGTCAAGGGGTCAAAGGTCAAGGTCACATTGACCTTGAAGATTAAAACGGTTTCCGATCAATTAATTAAAAACGCTTAGGCCTAGGAACTTCAAACTTTGTATGATGATTGGTCGTGACCAGCAGATGACCCCTATTGAGTTTTGGGTCAAGGGGTCAAAGGTTAAGGTCATGACCAGTAGATACTTGATAACCCTTATTAATTGTTTGATCACTGGGTCAGAAGTCATGCATAATAACCTTATCACATGACTAATTGGCTGCTGATAGGGGGCATACATGTTTTACAAACATATCTTGTTTAAATAAGACTTTTATATAGTGAAATGGTCAACTATGTGTTTAAAGTGGGTGGGTTAAGGTAACATTTTTATACATATGAAAAATATTTTGTTCAGACACAATCATTATGCTTGTGTAATTTGTTACCTTAATGTTATTATTTGTTTCGTAACAATATGCAATAGGAAAACTAGGGCAGTGATTTTTCATAATGATGATATTATAGATTATTTGGAGTTTCCTCATTTCTGAAAAAAGCCCTATAGTAGAGTGACAATGTGCTCAAAAGTAGCTTAGTTAAGGAATTTTAGGTTTTTGCAGTAGAACAAAACATGTTATACACCAAAATGTTCACCAAGGTCTGTAGTATCTGAAACTGCCGGCATAATTTTTCTATGAGTGGTGCCAGCTGAGAAATCCAAGATGGCGTCCAAGATGGCCGCCAAAAATAATATTTTTCCTGATTTTATAAAGTCCAAATTGAGACTTATTGTCATTTTGATATCAATAAATATTGGTTTGGATATTATTTGTTTGGACCTGAACATTAATTTAATGGTCCTTCATGATGTTTAAAAAGTCAAGGTCAAGGTCATTTCAAGGTCATTATTTAAAAAATAACCAAAAACTTTAAAATTCCACATTCTTCATGAATTTATATGATTATTAAAAGTTTCAAATGTTATTAAACATGTTCTAAAATGTCTAACAGGGCTTTTTCTTATTATGTGTGGTGCAAGCTGAGAAATCCAAGATGGCTTCCAAGATGGCCGCCAAAACTGATATATTTTCCTAATTTCTGAAGTTACAATAGAGACATTCTGTCATTTTGATACCAATAATTATTAGTGTGGTCATAATTTGTTTGGATCTTAACATTATTTTGATGGTCTATCATGATGTTTAAAGTCAAAGTCAAGGTCATATCAAGGTTATTATTTAAAAAATAACCAAAAACATTAAAATTCCACCATCTTCATGAATTTATATGATAACTAAAAGTTTCTTATGTAATTAAACATGTTCTAAAATGTCTAACTGGGCTTTTTCTTATTATGTGTGGTGCAAGCTGAGAAAGTCAAAGGTCATTTCAAGGTCATTGTTTCAAAAGTAACCAAAAAATAATTTCTGACATTGAGACATTCTGTCATTTTGATATCAATAAATACTAGCATAAGTTTGTTTTGTTTGTTAGGACCTTAACATCAGTATGATAATCCATCATGATTTTTAATAATCATATATAAGCCGGTGCTAGTGGTTGTGGACGGTAGACCGCAGTAATGACTGCCATCCATGATTAGACTAATTCAACTAATCATGCAGTATTTTCAATTATGCATGTTTTGGTATTTTTATAAGCTTTAAATTTTATTTGTTTTTTTTTTTGTTGCTACCATATAGATGACCAACTCTTAACATTTGCTGCGAAGAGAAATACCATTTCTTACCTCAGAAAGCAATGGTAGATTTGATATATTGGTCATCATTATTTCAAATACCACGGAATGTACAATAGAATACAGTCAGTAAAACAATAATCTGGCAGCAAATACTTTTCTTATTGCCTGACAAGGCATTCACAATGCCATGTACAAATGTCAGTGTATGTTCTGTCTGTGCAATCTTGCCTAAATTCCAAGTCATTTTGGAAAAATGTACTTAACCTATTTGGAAACTTTTACAATGTAACATAGCCTTAAACTGGGAAATATAATCATTTATATGCAATTTGGAGAAATAGAGAAAAACAGAATCCCTAAAGAAAGCCCAACACGGTAAAATTGTAAAATGTTGTAGGCTCGGTTTGATTGAGCCTGTTCATGGAAGGTACTGGAAAGTGCAAGTGAAAGTTACCGTCCACGCCCCCTGGCACCGATTTAAGCAGAATTCAACATTAAACACGAAAATGGTGAAATTATGAATTTAGAAACATCCACAGATGTGTTCATACGGCGGTTATCATGGAACCTTCAATGTGACACAGTAGTGTCATTCCATGAAAAGCGGCATATGGTCCCCAAGTAAAAGAATGCGTGTGCCCTAAACGTGAAAACAATGGGCGGAACTAAATAAAATGGAATTTTGAAAGGGGATCTAAGGTTATGAAGCCTGCATATCACAGAAACCCAAAAAATCGAAAGTTTAATGAAGTAGGTTGAAACACAAATATATATGTTGTTTTTGTCTATTTCAATTCAAATTTCTGTATCAAAGCATGGAACAAATTGCAAAGAAATCAATGAAAAAGCAATATGTATGCCCATCAAATTTATGGAACACAAAGGGAACACATGTTCACCCTACAATTTTTTTGGGGTGCAAATATCCGCCTCAAAGCAAGACAACGATAGGTGCAACTCCTCTTGGTATTGATTATTTCAATAAAGTTTCATTGAATTCCAGCGAGTAGTTGCAGAGAAATAGCGAGGAAATGATTTTTGCTCTGTATGCATTCTGTATAACTAATCAAGGGCCATAACTCTGTGTTGAACTGTCTGACTGGAACAAGGCGTTGATATGCGCATCTCTTCTTGGTATTGAAGGTTCCCATAAAGTTTCATTGAATTCCAACCAGAACTTGCAGAGAA